GATAAAATCTAGAAGTACTAATACAGTTATTACAAGTATCTGTGCACATCACATGGAGAAATAAATAAAATAAAAGGGTGGAACATATCACCTCTGAAAGTGTTTCTTTTTTCCCTCTTAAAAAGAGGGAAATAGCAATTAGTTAATCTATTTACTCACATACAGATTACTTAGTGCATATGTAACAGAGCATACAATTTAACTACCATGCAAACTGCCCCCATGTTGCCCTGCCAATGACCTTAAGCACAACATGGAAGGAAGGCCATTCTCTGTAGGATAGAGATGTAATTAATCCACTACAATTGTTTGGCCCCAGCCCCCTCTCTAAAACTAAGCCTGACAATAGGATTGAATTATGAATGGCATATTTGCAGTGTGTATAATTATTTGCTAAATGAATTATTGAGAACAAAACACTTGCTTCGTTTATAATTTTAAACTCTGGTTAAATAATGGCTTTACAGCTTAGGTACTAGTTGCTGATTTCTAAATCTCCAAAAGCATTTTCATTTTAGAAGTTCCTATCATTCATACACTAAACCAGGAGTAAATCCCATTAAGATGAATCCAACTTTCTCCTAAGTATAGTGTGGAGAACTGTAGTCAAAATGTCTGAATAAAATTAGTTTTCTCAGGGCAGGGGAAAAAAAACATATAAAAAGGACCAAAGACTATAAAAAAAGGGTGTTTTCTCCTTTCTCTTAACGTTGTGCTTTGTATTTATTTTACTTGGGGTTTCTGTATCACCCCTGAAAGTGTACTCCCATTCAGGCTTTATCATAGCTCTTCCAAACATAATAAACTTCTTTTCTCTAGCTTAAGGGATCCATCAGTTAAAATGTTAGTCTTTCATCTTTATTACCCTCCCATTAAAATGAAAGAAACCGGGACTCACTTCAGTTTAGAAGAAGCAATTTTGTTGGTAATGTCCTTACTACTCAAGTCTTTACAAAGGGAGAAAAAGTGCATTACTGATTATACTCCACACATATATCTAACTAAGAAGCAAGTAAACCTTTCAGAGGCATACTATGTTAAATTTAATAATATTCTTTGATTAGATTATTTTATTGCAACATTTTGCCATTGCCAGTCATTTCCCACATGCATTTATGTTAATAAAACCTGCAGTTTTCAGTCTCTCTCTCTCTCTGTGCGAGTGTATGTGCTTTTGGAGGACTGCCTGTTCTTCTACAGCTGTTAGATCTGAAATGGACAGATTAATAACTAACCATCACATTGGACTAGGTTTTCTTGTATGTTGCACCAGTAACCCTTTGCTATAATGAGGACACAAAGAGCCTCACATCAAGTCTGTGCCTCTTCTTCATAACTCAAAAAGCGTCACAGTGGCAATAGCCTCTAGTGCTATTTGTCTTTAGTGCAGTTGTGACACTTCGGCATGATCCATAATTTGGCAGCTATTTACCGTGACATTTCCCTTCAGTGCAGCCATAACATTCAGCGAAGCCATTATTTGCTTCCATTTACCATATAAATTGTATTGTTGTGCATGCATGCTAGCAGCTATATTAGGCACCTGAAAATGAGTAAATCTTGTAAAATAGATACTAACAGCTATTCAGCAGTGGAGTTCCTTTCTAGCTTAAGACCAAAGAAAGGCAAACAAACAAATAACATTTCTGCATACTGCCGCAAACTTTTCCCTGAGCAGTTGCAATTATCTGTATTTGCACAGCATGACAATTACACTCAGTGACTGGCTCTGTTTCTCTCTCTTTCTTTTTTTAAAAAATTAACATTATAATGTTAGAGAAATATCATTTAATTCAGAAAGGTATTAAAATGGTTCAGCACAACAGTTCATTTGAAAAAAAAATCTGGCAAAACATGCCCACGACTGCCAGTGGGTCCATTTAGCATGTATTATATATTCATTATTAAAAATAATAATTGTATATTTAGCCTTTCCTGACATTATTTTTCCCCACCAAGACTCATGTATTTGGCTATACATAGAAAGACTGAAGCGTTGCTGTCTACAAATATCTTTTCCATACAGATTTCACCACAGCAAGCAATTTCAGGTGGGAAGGTTACATTAGAATTTTATAGGGAAAGAAAGCAATATGGAGGTCTTCCCAGGATCAAGTTATTTCAGCTCAGTGGAATTTATTTCTGGGTTGGTGTGAAGCTGAAACCTCAATGAATTGTTCTCAACATTATCTCGGAATGTCCTTAACACAACAACACTGTGGAGCTGGTATGTTTCCTAGGCATGTTGGTATCTATATTTAAGGTCTTATAGTAAACAGTTTTTGAAAAAACCTTTTTGAAAAGCATTTAAACTCATAAAACATACAACATGTGTGCAACAAGGCTTTTCTGGACCACCAGTTGCTACGCTCACTTGGGCTCACTCCCTTAAAAATACCTGCTTCAGCATTTAATGTTGCACAGAAGACTGCAGTCGGAAAGACACATCAGTTATTATTTTTCATAAACTTTCCATTCATGCATCAGGAATCTGGAATTCTGGCCTAAGTGTATTATTGTTAAATCCTTGGTGTGAATTATCAGTATTTTTGGTAATTTTACAGCAGATGAATAATATCAAACATTGGTGAATACATCAAACAATCACTTGCCTATTGGCCATAGAATTTTCCTCCTCTTAGGTTCCTAATATTACCTCTTTATATTAATCAATTATTCAGAAATAACATAATCATATTATGGTGAGGTTTCAGTAGAACTTTTCAGTAACTGGACAGTTAAGATAAGACAGGGTCTTTCTGTGCATATGAATAATCAAACTGCCAGTTTTGCAGTCATACTAAGAAATGCATTTGCTTCATTGAAAATTTCTTAAGACGGCCCTTCTTTTCTTCACATAAAGGAAAACTGTATTGACTGTTTATGCCTTAAACATGCCAATAAGTTCAATCTCACTACAGTGGGACTCCACTGAAGAATGAAGGGTATTAATTTAAGAAAAATCAAGAAGCCAATTTAGAGTAACAAGAAGAACAATGCAGACCCAGCATTGGCAAAAAAAATACTTATGGAAAATACATTAAAATAATAAACCAGGAAGCAAGTGTGAAATCTGAAGAAAATAAAACAAAGTTGTAAAAAGCATAATCACATTTTTGCAATCCGTAGTTAAGCATTTATGTTCCCTTGATTACAATGTGGCTTATGTTTGTTTAACTTTCTCTCAACTGTATATAATATTGGGCTCAACTTACTTTGTCACAACTGCATTTGCTGCATATTGGGCAGAAAAGAAGTGTCAAATGGGGAGTGGAAGGAGGCATACGTAAATATGCAGTGAAGATGCATGAAGGAGCTTCAGTAAATCAGGTCTTCCAGTTCACTGCATGCCTACAAGCGTGCATCTGTGCTTCACTCATTATGGTATTCATTGCCAAGTATACTGGTATACAGTAAACATGCTTACTGCATTCATTGTGAAAGAGATGAATCTCAACAGCAAATCCTTAAAATAAGTATTTGAAGACTCAAAGGTGCTTCTGCTTATTTGTTAATCCTTGTGGTTAGGTTTTTTTTAGTACTGTATTTATTTAATTGGGGGACTACTGAAATAACAGATAATTTAAATATAAATAACATGTAAAATCATTTGGCAAGGGAAAAAGTTCTGGACATAGGGTGGACCTAGAATGAGTTTAATGACAATAAACTTATTAAAAGCAACAGGATCGAACTCAGTCATGTTTAACCTGTTTCTCATTAATTTCAATGGATATACTCTAGCACCAACCAATCTGGATCCAACCAATATGTTGCTCTGACCTCTTAACATTGGTAGGATATGCACCTGCCCAATTAGGCACCCTAAGAAAGTGATCCCAAACACAGTTATTTTGAAGTGTATTCCTTTAAATTCAATTACTGTATATGTATTTTTGAATGGATGTTTCTATTATTAGAGTGTAGCTATGCAAATGTTTACAAATTGTTCTTCAAAAAGTCTGGAAGCTATTGTGAGATTCAAGGGCTGAGAACCTATATAGGTAAACAATCTCAGAGGAATGACCTTCAGTCACTGAACATTACTACATGCACAAGAGCAGTTATAAATATGGTCTATTTCTAAGCCTAAATGTTATTCTCAACATTTATTGAGAAATGCATAGATATTTTCACTTTTTTTAAAATCATTCAAATATTTCATCACAAGATTGTTTCCACAGGGTGATACACTTGCATTAATATATACTTTTTGTCCCGCCTACCAAGTTAATTTTGCACCAGATCAATCCAGTACTGAATTAAACCACTGTTCTTGGAAGCAAGCTACTGTATTTCAGTCCTATTGAACTGAGCAGTGCTCAGTTCTCTTAACTCTACTGTCTGGATGTGCTGTGCAGTATAAAGTAGCAGGAGAAAAACAATGATGCTTGTGAACCATAACAGGAAGTCCTGATTAAAAGGAAAATCTGAAGATGCCGGCCACAGAGACTGGCGAAATGTTAGGAAGAACAACCTTCAGAACACGGCCAAAGAGCCTGAAAAACCCACAACAACCATTAAAAGGAAAATCTTCGTAGAGCTGACAACAGTAAAAATCAGATGTGGACCATGAATACTTTTCATTTGTTTGTTTGTTAAAACACTTCTTACTAGTTTATGACTGGATGTTTGCAAACAGTACCTACACAAGTGCCTCTTAAAATAAAAATGCTATTTAGGGATTTAAATTAACATCTCTTTTTCCAAAAAGCTCAAATAAGCAATAAAAAATAAATGCAGAAAAGCAGCTAAACATGTTGTATTTTCTGCAAGAGTCTTTCGACAGCTAATGCAAGCCATTGAGTTCAATGAGATTTACTCCCAGGCCAACTACAAAGGTTGTAGTTTAAAACTACAGTTCTAAACACACTTAACTTGCAAATGTGCCTCACAGTACAGAATGAGATGTATTTCTGAATGGTAGACTGAATTGCCAGTTGCACTAAAGCACAGTGGATTATTCTAGTCTTATTAATGGGCAAACAAGACACAATGGAAAAAGTTGACTCAAATTATGTTTAATGTTTTACATATACATTTGTGCAATATAAGATCTTACAAAAGTTGTCACTTACTGCACATGCAAACAATCCAGTCACTTCTGCTTTCTGTAGGGTGGCAAACAGACCTCTTTGAATGCTTTATTAATTGCATAGTTTTTGGATTATTTTATTCGTAGTATAAAGTTGCATCACAGCAAGGTTAGTTCAGTTCATGTGCTAATACAGTCAGAGGAATGCTTAAGTATGACATTCTGAGTATATAAAAATGTAATTAAAAACCTGAGGCAAAGCTGATAGAATTGATTTGTATATAAGTAGGAAGACATATTTTCATATCTTAACTAGAACTTGTCTTAGATGTGCATGGAAAGTAAGGATGTTGACCATCATTAAATCGTTATCATGAAAAGCTGACATATTTTCACTTTTGAAATATATTGGGCACAACCCCCTAGGTTATTATCCACTGCAAAACTGACCCTACATGATTCTCACTGCTCCACAGAATGTCCCAGTAGAATGCGCCCATCCATTTTGATGTGAATAATCTAAAGCATAGCTAATTTCACAAGATTTTAACAATGCAATTCCATATATGTCTACTCAGAAGTAAGCCTCAAGTGAGAGCAGCATCAAAATGCACGTAAGACCACCGCCTAAGGGACACCTCTCCATTTAGAAGTAAGACCCTCCCCCTCCCCCGCCGAGTTCCCCAGGCTTTACTCAAAGGTTAGCGTTCACAGGATTAAAGCCCGTTTCAGTGGTACAGGAAAAGATCATTTTTATGATTAGTCAGATTCATGCTCAGGTCAATTCAAAGTTAAGCAAAAATTAATTCAAAATTTCTAAACAAAAGGGCAATGCAGTTATTTGAAGCAATGCCAAAGACAACCACACTTTAAACAATACAAAGAATCCAAAACAAATTTAAATAAATCAATCTTTTATTAATCATAAATGCAATTTTAAATGTTACCCCTTGCCAACTTTGAAGAAATGGAACTGTTTATAGTTATTGTGAAACATAAAGTACCCATTTTCCCTTCCTTGATTTATATCATTGTCCTGTTTTTACAGCTTACTGTTGACAGAATGAGGTAATTCAACTACAATTTTTCCAATGTTTTTTCCCATGTACATATAATCTATAGCACGGAACACTGACTCTAAGCCAGTGAACTTGCCCTCTGGAGACATGTCACCAAAGTCTACCTCACAAGTCAGTTCTTTATTTTCACACATTTCAACTAAGTGTTTCATAGCTGCTTGGTATTCAGAAATGTAATGGAGTAAAAAGAAACCCCGGATGCTGGCAGATTTTCTTAGCAGCTTTGCTGGCAGAATCTCTACATTACTAGGCTGAAGGCCAGTAGGGGTTTGGTAGCCAGAAATAAACCCAATAATTATCAGGCGCCCCTTGGTAGCCAAGGAGTTGATAGCCAAGTCAAACATCTTTCCACCAACAGATTCATACACTACATCCACACCTTTTGGGCACTCCTTCTTAAGAACATCAGCAACATGTTCAATTTTATAGTTGATAGGACGGTCACAACCAATGGATTTCAGAAAGCCAGATTTCTCATCACTGGAGCAAGTTCCTAATACGTGGCATTTTGCTTTCTTTGCAAGCTGCACAGCAAACTGTCCAGTTCCTCCAGCTGCTGCTGTCACCAGAACAGTCTTCCCCTCAGACAATTCTCCAAGCTCCTTCAGACTGATATACGCTGTAGCTCCACTTACCAATAATGACAGAAACTCGGGTTTCACAGTGGGTATTGGAATAGCTTCTTTAGCAGGCACAACAATGTATTCAGCAAAAGCACCAGGCCTGAAGTAGGATACTGGTTGGCCCACTGTGTACTTAGCACTTGCACTTAGGCCCAACGCCACCACTTCACCCATTCCTTCAAAGCCTACATCAAATGGGGGCTTAACTGAAGTGTCGTATCGGCCAGCAGAGAAGTTAATATCAGATGCATTAATGCCGACAAATCTGGAAAAAATAAAAGTGTACCACAATGAAATTAATTAATTCAACATGAATTCAACATGAATTAATGAGGCAAAATTTTTCAGTAATGCGTATTGAAATATCTCAAATTCTGAAGTCCTTTTCAGGTCTTTGTACACAGAAACAAAAGGTTGTTTTAAAAGGATTTCAGTTTTACTAATATATATAATTTAACACATTTCTAAATTTTAAACTGAAAGATAATTTCCTGTAGTCTATTCCAACAAAACACGACGAAAGAAATTATTTTTGTATGTTCAAGAATAAAAGTGTTTTTTCTCTGTAAAAACTTGCAATCAAATAAAACATCAGTGAAGTAGTAAACATCTTGACTCTAGTAACAAATTTACATTTCAGATTATAGCAACACTTTTAGTAACTAATGATGACATGAAATATCAATGTCCTCGCCAAGGTCGATGGTCATAAGTGTTACTGCAGGCAAATTTAAAGAAAATGGATGAAGTGACTATAACAAATTTGCCTTTTGATGCAACTAATTTGCACATTATTAAAATATTTTGCTGTATACAAATGACTCACAACACCTTAAAACAACCTTGAAGAGAAAGACTAAAATTATGCCACAACACTTTTGAACACTACTGACCTCTGACAAATAAAAATGAATTTTAAAAATCACTAGGAATGTTCTGTTCTTTAATGAAGTAACTCACCAGGTAAAGAAACAGCTATTTTTTTCACTAAAAATTTGAAAACAAATATTACTGTAGAATGTGACCTTTCCTCTCCCATATCCAGATCTAAACAGTGGGGTTTAATTTTATGGAAGTGTGAAAATATGTGAAAAAATGGCTTTTAAAGACACAACCACTGAGTGCTTTGTAGATCAGTGACTGCTTGAAAGAGCTCTCCTACAAAGAAATAGCAAAACTGAAGTAATTTCTAATACCAGGGAAAATCTCTTTTACTAGTAAAATGTTGTCACATATGACATATATATATCTGTATATATCATACATATGTGTACACACACACACACACACATATGATATACAGTATATATCTGTATATATCATACATATGTACACACACACGAATACACATTCAGAGACAGAGTTCTGCAGTTCTCTCTAATTCTTCATATAACTCAGTCTGCATCTGCAGCAAAGAATATTTTCATACTATTTATAGTCCCTGAGGGGGGGGGAATCCACTCAGTTTAATTTACATAACTCCCCTGTCCCATTCTGAGGGAGAGCGAGCGAGAGGGAGAGCAGCCGATTCCAAGGCAAAAAAAGAGGGATGTGCTGTTTCCTTGAAGACGAGAGAAAGGGACGAGTGCAGCGCCAAGGCGCGAGCTTGGAACGAGCTCTTCCTAGACGACGGAAACTCTTCGCTTTGCCCCCTGCCTTGCTGGATGCAAGATGCCGCTTCATTGCGCCTCGGCTTCAGCCCTGCCCCAGCTGGCCTGGGTGGCACACGACATTTCCGTCGCCCCCTCTTTCACCCACAGAGCCACGCTGTCGAGGCACTGAGATGCACGTCTGAAGAGCCCCCCCCTCCCCGAGGGACCTAAAAGTGTTGCCGCCTTCACGTCACCCCTTTGTTTTAGAGGCACCTTTATCTGCCGCCGCTCCCTGCCCCCCGCCCGCGTTCCCACCTCAGGCACTGAAGCTGCTATTTCGTATCCACAGGCAAGGTCAGGTTTTAGGGCCCCCCTCTCATTTCGTCTGGGATTTAAGCGCCTTTGACGCACTGGGCTCGCAAGGCCAAAGCCTAGGATGGGGACGCGGGTGGGCAAACCGGCTTACACCCTGCTCCCCACCCCAATTCGCATCTACGAAGCTACCCCTTCCCTTGCCAGTCCTCTCCACGAGTCCCGCGTTTAAAGTTATTCTCACTACCGCCAGTAAAGGCAGATAATAAGGAAAAGGGGCCCGCGGTGCGAGGGCCGGGAGACGGGTAGAGGCTTTGCACTAATTAGCTCAAAGGCCTAGGAAGCTCGTCCGCGCCTTGCAGGTGAAAAGGCTCTTTTTTTGGCGCCTGAATTCACTGGGCCTTTGAGAGAGAGAGTTGTGCGTGTCTGTTTGCGAGACGAAGCTGCAGGAGCAAAAGAGATACAAGCCGAAGACCCTTTGGAGAAGGTCTGTGCCAACCACAGCCCCAAAAAGAGGGCGACGTCTGAAGGCCGGCGGCTGCCAGGTCGGCTGAGGGAAGTAGGCGAGGGCGGTAGGCCAGCGGGGCTTTCCCCTTCCAGGCACCTCCGCCGCCGCCCTCCTCCTCGCCCTCGACCCACCTCCCTAGAGTCACCTCCGGCGAGCCCTCCCTTCGCCTGGCGAGCCTGCTGCGCTCGCTCGCTCGCGCGCTCCCTCGGCCCAGCCTCGCGCGCGCCTCTCCGGCGGCGGTTCAAATTGGGAAAGCGCAGGCGAAGTCCGCAGCCTGCTCAGGGGGGGGAAGAAGGTGCGAACGCCGCGTCGCTTTTCCGAGCAGGACTCGACACATTGCCGTCAAGGCACCAAAGGGCAACCCTCTGAAAATAAAACAAAACCCGGAGGTAAACGGTGCTTAGAAATCTCCCCCATTCCCATAGCAGAAGGGCTGTCGTCGACCTTTGAAACCCTTATAGAAGTAGTGGAAACACCACGGTGATCTCCGCGGTCTCCTGAAGGTACACCACTCGGTAGGAAATGTTGCAGATTGTGAAAGCTGTTACAACATTGCTCTGACGTCGCAGTTTTTAGAAAAATCTCAGTCACAGTGTTTCCAGAGATCAATAGATCTACGGATTTTCTCCTCTTTGCCCTACTCAAATAGTGGAGCATCTTCGCAGGCGGGCACGCAGAGGTGACGGGATTAGCGGGCGCTTTCCCCAGCCCACCCCTTTCTCTCTGCCGACTCCGAACTAAAGTTGCAATGCCTGTGCGCACTTCACTAGGTGAAATCCAGGAGAAGCACTTAAGTGGGGATTACTCCCGAGTAGAGACGCCTAGGCCTGCATTGCTAGCCTCCCGAAATCCTACTGGTGTAGCTCCCAAGTACACTTGCGTGTTGGCCTGCAGCCGGCGTGCCCGGCGTTTCAGAAGGAAGACGCCAGTTCAGTGTCAGCTTGCAAACTTGGGCGCAGGAGGGGAGCGGCCTCTCCGCCGTTATTGTTCTCCTTTTAAGTTAACTCCGTGACCTTCATTATGCCTCTGCCCTGCCCCTCCTCCAATGTTGTGGTCTGCCTTTAACTAGAAAGCGCTCAAGCCTTTAACCACCTTCCCAAATTCGAGATAAGTGTTTAACCGAAAGGGTGAGAGAAAGGGACCGCGTCCCAGGCGAAGCTCCTGCAAACCGACTCTCGCCGAAATTATGTATAGGTAAGATCAGAGGAGGTGCCTCAAAGGGGCTTTAAAATCTGCTTTCTCAAACTACAAGGCGATTTAGGAGAACAAGATGTTGGGCGAGAACCTGAAACAGTCTGACTAAAGCAAGACCCCCCCAAACCAGAGGCAGGCAAAGGGCGAAGGGCGAGTTCCCAAGTCCATACAATCAGCAGAACAAAATCGCTTCGAAGGCTTCGCCCGTTTCCACGCCTTCATCTTCCAGGCGAAGAAGCAGGCTGCCCTCCTCCTCTTTTCCTTCCCAATTTTAGTGCTTGCTTGTTTTCCGAAAACAGAAGCTCATTTGGAAAGTAACGGAGTCCTGTTGCACCTAAAAGACTAACGAGTTTTATCTGGCATAGGTTCCCTTGGACTTCAGCCCCTTCATATAACAGAGATGATCCGTACCAGATCACATTGCTAGAAAAGAGATCTTATCCCATTAGCTGACATTATTTTGAAGAACTACTATAAAGACCACTTCTGGCCCAGCTGTTTGCTAATAAATCCAGAAACCTGCATTTCAGGATGAGGGGGAAACTGGGCAAAGACACAAAGAGGGCCATAAATGGTTTCCCTGTAGTTTTTTATTATTATTATTAGGTGCCTTCCCTTCTTATTTTTACAGCACAATCACACCTCCCATGAAATGACAGAAGTGTATTGTTTTATACTGATTTTAAGTCTGAGGACACTTCTTTCTGAATAAAGACTGAACTAGACTAATTTTTGTTATTCAGAAATGTCTGTTCTGTGCCAAAATAAACACGGGGGAAATCTTTCTCAGACATTGGAAGGAAAGGGAGTGAAAGTTGCACATTAAAAGAAACTTGTCCCCCAAAAAAGAAAAGAAAAGTTAACCACAAACTTAAAATATGCCAGGTATTTATATGTTTATGTACTATGACACACTACAGTATACTTCCATGAATAGAGAATACTTTGCATTATGTAATTTGCTTTCATCATTTGGAGTTATGGGGTTAGAAATGAAAACATTACCCAGCCACTGAAGCCCATCTTCATTTCTTCTTTCCTCCCTTTCTTCTCCTAGCCCCACATTTCAACCTAATACAGTGCAGAGGGTATTTTCAAGGCTAAATAAATCCAGGTGCCTATTCTCCCTCCCGCAGACGTGGAAAAGCGCTCTTCTAGAGTGTAGGAGAAACCAGGAGGCTGGAAAAGTCACTCCAAAATTAGCTTTCCTAAGCCAAAACGGGGATTATGAAAGGTTTATTCCTTAACACTCTCGCTTTTGCACTAATGAGATCTCTTCACCGCCACAACAAAGGAACATCACGCGCAAATCTAGATGACACAAAAGTTGTGAACACCTCTTCTGCGATTTTTCACGCGCATACTCGCAAATTCAACGTGTGAAAAAAAAAGAGAGCCAATAACGATCCCGGGTCTCGTCAGTCTGCCCGGGTGGGAGCCGTCAGCCCCCCCCCTTCCTTCATTTCGGAATATGCACCAACACGTTCTTCGAGTCCCCTGAGAGCCCACCCAGTATCGAGGGCAGGATAAGGAAGAGTTACATAGAAAACAAAACAAATTGCATGCATAAATTTTCAAATTTCATGGCAAGGGGAGAGAGGGAGGGGGAGGGAGAGCGGGAGAGGGAGGGAGGAGAGGGAGAGAGAGAGAGAGAGAGTGAGAGAGAGAGTCTGGAGAAAGTGTTGGGGGAGGGGATAGGAGAACAAGGACGTAACAACCTTTCGATAGCGAAAGAGGTAAGAAACCAGGATATTTTCCTATAGCATTTTCGATCGGCACAACTCCCATGTGTCCATGAGAAAAGGAATTTAAGCTGCACCATGAGCAGGATATTATTGCCACGGATCCATTTAAATTAAGGCTTCCAAAGGGGGATATTCTGGTCTCCAAAAAAGTCTGTTCTGTTGACAGCACCAACTCAACCCTTTGACATCAGGGAGGGCATCTCTCTCTCTCTCTCTCTCTCTCTCTCTCTCTCTCTCTGTGTGTGTGTGTGTGTGATGTGGGTGTTCTACCTTGCAGAGCACATGGACACATTTCTAGAGTTCGGAGACAGGTATGTTATACCTTTTCTGCGATCGATGGTGTGCGCGCACGTGTTGGTGAGTGTGCGCGCACACTCCACCGACCACTTAATCCTGTGTACTTGCACTTAATCCCGTTTAGTCCTATCGGTTTCAGTGGGGTTAACCTGACTGAAATGCAATTTACTCTGGACTGGCGCCAAGGAACCAGTTCCAGGCTGTGAACATTTATTTTAGAAAAGAAGCCTAATACAAACAAGGACTACGAGAAGAACCCTTTCATTCCCACTCCTCTACAAAAGGCACATATCATATAACAATCACACCCTTTGAGAATAACTTCATGGATTTTTAAAACTTTCCCTTTTTTTTTTCAAAGCCCCGCTTTGCTTTTAAGAAATGATCCCATCAAGGAAGTGATTAATCAGAAATGAAGACAGCAGAAGAAACCAACTTAAAGAATGAATCTCTTGTTTCCAAAAATCAAATCAAATCTTTCGGCATAAGGGGACCCCGAACAAATCGTGAACGCACAGAGTCAGCGCCCACAATTTGCAGTTTGTTATGCTAAGGAAAATGTCACGTCTTTGCTCCACGCGTTTCCCGAGTATTTTGCAGAAAGAACAGGATCCTCCTCACTTACACGTGCAAGAAACGCCTAACAATAGTAGTAAACTTTCCGAGGCTACCACCGGTAAGCAGTCGTTCTTTGAAAGCAAACGCTACCGAACTCTAGGGAGTTCACTTCTGAATAAACGTGGTTAGATCGGAGGAAGAGGAGCATGGAGTTAATACACAGAGAAGTGACAGTGGGTGAAAGTCGCATAACCATCTGAGGTTCTTTGGTTTCCTGTTGATCCACTGCCTGCTTAAGGTTAGTGATGAGCAGGACTAGTGGTGGAGGGGAGAGCAGGAAGAGTTGTATACATTAAGTTGCTCGACACAATGTCTGGAGTGTGTGTCACCTGCGTGCACACACACTCTCTTTCTCACACACACACAGAGGAGACGACTAAAAATAACCTATACCCAACGTCCTGATTACTCTTGCACAAACCGCACATGGAGATCGACACAGATCGGCCCGTGTTATTGTACAGCCAACGCAACCCTCCCAAATCTGACAAGATCAAGCCAAGGCAGCGGCGCTCGCTCGCTCGCTCGCTCGCACATCCCTCTCCACCCCCGCGCGTACGGTGGCAGGAACAAGTCCACAAACACTGGCAGTCAGAAACCTGGGAGGGGCTTTAGGAATCATTTCCTGGTTGCTGAAGTCCCTTCCTGAACCCTCAGGTCACACACAACTTTCCAGGCGAAGGACTTTGGTGGCTTGGCTTACCTTCTCCGGACGGACTTGTTGGAAGGAAGGCCTATCTATCCTCCTCCCCCCTCTCCTCCTCCTTTTATTTTAGCACCTTGGAACGGGAAAAGGAAGAGAAGGGAGGGAGGGAGAATCCATCTAAAGTTGCGGCTTTCCTGCGAGCCCAAACATCCCTCCCTCCTTCCTTTCCTCTCCCCCCCCGCCCACACAGCGGTGCGCGCGCTGGATTATGGCGTAAAAAACCATTCCCCCCCCCCAATAAAATAAAACCCAACAGTCGCCAGATGGCAGCTGCCGGCACAACTTGCCCGGATCACCGAGACTGAGCGAGTGGGCGGACAGGAGAGAGAGAGAGGGAGGGAGGAGGCCGAAGGGGGTGCGTGTGTGAGAGAGAAGTTAGGGAGGGGTCCTCCGCCGGACAGAGAAAGGGGGATCGCCCCTATCGGCTGCCCGCCTCCCACCCCTGCAGGGAGACTGGGGGGGGGGAGATAAGTCTTGGGAAGAGGCAGGAAAAGAGGGGCGGGGGAAGAAGGAGGGAGGGCAATGGAGGGTCGAGAGGTCCCCACCTGTTCCTAACAAGCAGGTCGTGGTCTCCCGGGAGCGGCACGGGCACATGGCGTAAGGTCACGGCTTCGCGGAAGTTGGAGCTCAACTTGGTCGCGACCAGCTTCTTCATGGAGGTGGGGATGGACGAGCCTTGGAAATCCAGGAAGTGCCGGGAGTACGACATGTCCACGATGGGCCGGGGCCAAGCGCCGCCCAAGCAAAGCCGCCCGAGGCTCGCCAAGGGACCGGGGCGGAGCTGCTGCTGTTGCTGCCGCCGCCGCCACGCTAGCCACGGCCGCCGCGGAGTCGCCCAAGACGCCAGCCCCCAGCTGGCCCGGGCGGTCCAACTCATGGGGAAGCCCGAGCTACCTTTCCTTACCGCCTTGGCTCAGCTTTTCCGCGCCACTTTTTGGCCTCTCCAGCCTAGGGTTCTTCCAAGGGGAATGCGGGCCGGAAAAGACTCGCTCTGCACTTTGCACTCGGTTCATGCAAATCAAGTCTAAAAGCAGCAAGCTGCAGCCTGCCCGAGTCTTGCTCCTTCCTTACATCAGAAAGGCAGCAGGGGAAATACAGAGAGAGAGAAAGAGAGAGAGAGAAACTCCCAGCAGCAGCAGCAGCTGCTGACATTGTTGCCGCCAGTAGTATTTTTTTCCCCCTAAGCAAACAAACAAGACCACACAGAAGGGCAAACTTCCTCCTTTTGAAAGCTCAGCCTGCCCTATCAAGTTGCCGGTGCCTCGGGAGCAAAAACTGGGCGCCTGTGTAAGGGGTTGGTGAGTGTGTGAGAAGAGTGTAACGAAGCAAGACACGGACCCACGGCTGCGACAAAACGGCATGAAATCCAAAGATTTTTTTCCCAAATTAAAACAACGGCAGCAGCACTTGTTATTATTCTGTATGATGGGGGGGGGGTATAGGGTCTCCGTGGTAAGAAAAAAGAGGCTGTCATTGCCTATTAAAACGCGCCGAATCTACCGCACAACCTCCACCTCTTTCATTAAAAAAAAAGATGGAGCGGATTTCTACACACACACACACATACACACGTTCTTCTCCTTGCATAGATAGCTATAGAAAACGATCTGGAACGCGTTATTAGACCAATGTGGGTTAAGGTTTATGGAGAGAAGTTGCAGCTAATCTGGCGGCAACGTCGCTCTTCGGAGCCTCCCGGAGCCGCAGGCGGCGGAGAACAGGCCCCTCCCCTTCCGTGCGAAACGTTCACTTCCTCGTAAGGTGGTACGAATCAACCCAGAGCCGCTTCTAGCAGCCGGGTTAGTGGAAGCGAGGTTGGCGTGAGGGGGAAAAGGAGGGAAAAAACAACAACAGGGATTTGCATCTTTTAAGGATCGGGGAGCGTCTCTATGTCTGGCCTCCCAATAAAGACGCCACCCCCCTCCCCACAAATATTGCTTCTGTCCTTCTATTATTCAAAAGATACACACCACACCAAAGAGCCCTTTGCAGACGCATAGGTTTTTATAACTGTCACAAAATAAAGACTGGGAAACCCATTGGATCGCCCTGTACAGTATTTATATTCGGCCTCAACATTTACCTACTCTTCTCATCTCTCTTGCTCTTAAATCAGGCTCTGCAATGCTCAGTTTTTTTTTTTGCAAGTGTACTATATGTCTGATCAAAACATGCTTTTTAAAAAATAATAAAAGTGTACCAGGAGCTGCCTAGCTTTGGTTGGTGCTGCTGAATGGAGACGAAAACCCAAACAAGAGATACTGACTCCTCTCCTATACTTGCACTCAATGGGCTTTGCGTGTAAATATATATATAATTATGGGATTGTGCTACGCGTGGCGTTTAAAATGCTCATCTAAGCATTCTACATCAATCTCCAGCACCACATAACAAATCCCATTTCTTAATTACACAGTATTAACTATGGAAGAAAATCCATTCACATTTTACACAAAACTGCGATTTATCCTCATAGAATATTATAGGACCTAATTTTGTCATTTCTTTTCAATGTGCACCTTCATCACTTGATTCAGCAGTATTTTTTCTTAATAAGTTTGGGTTCTGGAACAAAAATAAGCAAACTCTAACAAAAATCTTAAATTTGTGTGGCCCCCTCCCAATCATGGGGCAAGGGAGGGGGAGAAACAGCTCTTGAAAGTTTTCCCGGAACTTGAGCGCCTGACATTGTTCTGTTGCCGACTAAGATTTACGATAACAAATCGTTGTGCTTTTCGCTTTAGGGGGAAAAATGCATGCATTTCAAAATCGTTGCTTAGACTTTCGTCGTGAGTTTTAGTCTTGCAAAGCAAAAAAAAAAAATGAACACAAGAAAAATAAAATTGAAAAAAGCAATTAAAAAGATTGACAGGTATGGGTTTGTATGAGACCTATTTGTAATTGTCAGGGTGACGTTGGCCAGAGGAGGAGGAGTAAAAAAAAATCTGAAGCAGGAAAAGCAGCTCGATGTGTCTGTCTATCAGTTGAGACTGTCTGAAAGCTCTCGGATCGGAATGTGTGCTATATTTCAGTGAAAAGAGAAGAGAGGGAGAGTGGGTCTCTTTCTCTCCCAGGAGTTTAAATGCGCGCGGGGGGGGGCAGTTCACGTTAATCTCTCCCACTCGGTGAATAGCTGGGTTTCCTTCCCCCCCCGAACCCCCACACCTTTCATACACTCCGTCTGGGGGTGCCTGCTTTGAAGGCTTTTGTTTGTTTTGTTTCGCAGATCAAGATCAACTTTAAAATAATAGTCCGTGTTGCAAACGCGTTTGCATTAATACTGGTATCCGAAGCAGCTGCGATCTTTGGGGGAAAAAAAAGACATACAGAGAGAGAGAGAGAGAGCGAGCGAGGCAGAAAAAGTAGTCCTCTCCGATGGTGCCACTGTTTGATCTGTGACTCTGTGGATGGTGGAGGAGGAGTGACTGACATTTCCCATCCGGTGTTATCTGTATGTACGGGGGCTTTTTACTCCTTCCCCCCCCCCAGCTGCTTTCTCGTTCAGACTAAGTCATGGGAGGAGAAGGAAAGACTGGATCGACCTCGTTTTCTGCACAATGAAAAAGCTATTATCAGCGCAATAAAAACCACCATCGCCAAAATCCACGAGCTTTTTTTCTTCTTCTCTTTTTGAAAGCAGCCAGCGAGCGAGAAAGTTACGCTTTGAGACTCTTTTGATCTCGGGAAAGGCTTGTTGTTGGCGGGGTGGGGTGGGGGGGGAAAGCTCTTGGAAGAGCCGAAGAGCGCCGGCATCTCCCGCCTCACCGTTCGCTGTGTTTGTTCCCTTCTCCGCCAAGACGAAGAGGCAGAAGAAGTAATCAAGGCAGGGTGGAGGGAGGCGAAGAAGAAGAAGAAGAAGAAGGAGAAAAGGAAGCGAGACACGCCGGGTGCGTGGGGGGGGGGGAGAAAGAGAGAGCCGGAACAAGTAAACGGATTTGGGCTGCGCGTCGTGGGAGCGAGGCAACCTCTTCATCTTGTCCATCTTCCGCCCGCTCGCATCTCCGGCAGAGGGACCGACCGAGGCGGGAGCGAGCGAGCTTTGTTTTCTTTTTTGTCTCCTGAAGTAACTTTTTCCAAAAAAGCCACGAACGAGAAGGGGGAGGAGGAGGAGGAGGCAAGCTTGTGCGGGTGCCCCTCCGGGCGCGCGTGTCTGAGGGCGAAGCCCCTGGAAGGTCAGGAATCAACCTTGTCAATGAAAACATTGCTTCGGCCAGATTTTGGAGCGGCGGCGGCGGCGGCGGCGGCGG